TTCAACTGCTGAGACCGGCTCCTGGCACTCTCTCTCTCTGTCTTTTGTGCACTCCCTGCTATTCTGCCTCAGGCCCTAGTTGGAAAGCGACAAGGACGATATAAAACCCAACAAGCTGCTTCTGTCGGGAGGGGGAAGAAAAACACTGAGAGAAAGAATAAGAAAACAAAGGAAGAAAAGAAAAGAAAGGGAGAACAACAGAAGGGATTTGCATTGCCAATCCCCTGGGGGGGAAATGTTGGGTTTTACGTGTTACAACTTGTTGGGTAACTGAAGGTTTTGTGTGAAGTGATTCTTGTGTCGTGGGAAGTGTAGGGTTTCAGTGTTGTCAGCGCTCAAATGAGAGGAGCTGATTTTTATCTGAGGGCAGAGGCATGTTCCCTCCATCCACTGTCATCCTCCGTCGCCTCCCTCTCTGCTGCGGCAGGAGCGTTCAGTTCACAGTGGGGGACAGGACAAGTGTAGTTCTCTAACAGCAAAGCTCACAGCCACAATGGGCTACTTTTAAGGGCTCAGTTCACCCAAATTACGAAAGAGCCCTTTCTCTCTCACTCTGTCTAGCCATGCATATAGTTTCAGGTTTTATTTTCCAAATTTAAAAGGCTTTTGCTGGGTATTCTCCCTTAAGATTTCCCTGTCGTGTTTCTTGCCACCAGGTGAATGTAATAGTATTCACTCTCCGTTTAGCTGTTTTGGTCTACACCAACTGAAGAATGGAAATAGTTTGTTTTTATCTGCAAGATGTTTCTTCACTAACTTTGATTGTGTACAGTGGGTTTATCAGAGCTTTTTAGCTGAAAGTAGCTGTCTGCAGCTTTCTTTATCTAGCCATGCATATAGTTTCAGGTTATATTTTCCAAATGTAAAGGTCTTTTGTTGGGTATTGTTCTGTAAGATTTCCCCACAGTGAAAAGTTACTACAAAGTTTTTCTACACCAGAAAGTGACAGATAACTGTGAAAAAGACAAAGAATCCTACACCTTGTGCTTAGTTTATTAACAATGTTTTGACCTTCGTCAGATAAAATGAATGTGCATGAGATTTCCTCTACAGCTTGTACATGTTGTTTTGGTTTCATTTGCTGTTTCATTTGGCTGTCAGAAATTTCCTAGAAACAAGTCAGTATGTTAGCACAGGAACATCAAACAGACATTACTTGAAACATGGCTGAATGATGAAATCAACAAGCCATGCTGTGCTATCAAACAAATGAGTAATTATTAAAGTTTAGATAATTCTTAATAATTTTTTAATTTTTAAAGTTTAAATGAATGTCTCTTAAGTCACCATTGCTGAACGAGGCAACACAATGCTGATCGAGCCTGTGGCCCACTGATAAAAGTATTGCAATATTATATGTTTACACTATTATGAACTGTGGCGACATTCTCAGAAATAATTTTACACTATTATCAACTTGTTAAATTCTACTGGCTAACATGTTAACAAGCAGTTGCCTATTTAGACTGCTGCAGCTGAAATGGGTTTATAAGAGCAGAGTTTGTGGGCTACGACAACCAAAACAAGCTAAAAGAGGCTAAAGGGCTCACTAGAGGTTAGGCGATCTGGAGAGCTGGGTCATAATTCTCTGTGGGTTTCTTACTACAAGCGACACCTCTCGCTTTGCACTTTGCACTCTGTTTCCTGTTTGAGCTGAACTCACCACTACAGTCGTTAATGTGCTCAATTATATTTATTTTTAATGTGAGAAAAGTGTCACAGAAATCTTTAATAGTAGTTTTGGTCACTTTGTTCCAATTTGTTTACCTCAACAGCTGCTCTGAGGTCTGTTTTATTGTGTTTTCTTAGCGGCATGTGGTGAGTGCCTATAAAAGCTGAACAACACTGTAGGTGGTTGGAAAACAGGCCTCAATCAGATAACCTCGTAGGAAGGAGATGCTATTCAAATCATGCAACACACACATGCAAACTACATACATGCATACACAAGGTCAGGTTCCGCATGGGTGCAGTCGGTTGCAGATAGGCTAAGTGTGTGTTTAAGTAGATGAGAATGGTGCGGAGGAAACTTAACTTTGACTGGTTGGTATTGTTCTAGGTAAGACGCCAAAGGCATTGTTTAAAAAAAACAAAAAACCTTTGTGCTTGTAAAACACACACACACCTTGACGCATTCCTCGCTGTCAACGGCTCGATGGGTCCCTGAGATTCTGTGCATACCTCTGCAGTGGGTCACACACGCAGAGTCTGCACAGAGGCGTGTGAAAGCCACCTGTGGCAGCTCTACAGTTCAGCCTGTGTGGAACGTGGAGGGGAGACCCAGGAATAACTTCCAGCGTGGGACAAAACACGGTGTGTTGCCACTGCCAGCCCGACCCCCCTCCCGCCACACAATCAACCCCTCGCCGACACCGACGGCGGCTGCTGCAGTGTTGGCTAAACAGTTTCCCACCTCTCCATCTTCATCCCTTCATTCTCATTTCCTTCTAACACTCAGAAAAACCGCACAGCAAACCTGAAAATAGCAATCAGACAGGATTAGGCTGATACAGATGCTTGTGGGTTTAAAGTTGCTGTTAGCTGATATTCTATTCCAACATGACAAGTACCACACTGCAGGAAACAGCATTTAGATCATGGGACACTAAAATTAAAGAGCAAAAATAGATTTTTTTTGTTTAGGAAATTTAAATTTTGGACCTGAAAACAAAATTTGGGCCCAAACACAGACACATATCCACGCACACACAAACACACACAAATAAAGGAGGGTGATATCGTGTTCAAAATCAACAGTCGTCAAGCAGGTGGCCTCAAATGAGTTTGAGTGCTGTTGTTCCCTCTGCTTGCAGCTGTATTTAATGTGCTACAGGGCTTTTTAGTTACTGTCAGCTGTGTGAAATGGTTTTATTATGATTCAGAGTTTGAATACGCACACACACACAGGTATAAATACACACACATTCACGCGCAGTTTGTGCAGGTTTAGGGCTTCGGCAGACAGGTGGCTTTGTGTTAAAAATGCAGTAACAACTGTGGTTATGCATTTGGCAGAATGCTGGTAGGTTTTTTTTTGTGTTTTCTTTTCATGTTGCCTGGCTGTAGGAGAGCATCATGCCAAACTCCATGAAGCTGTTAAATGAATGTGTCTCTCCTTGTTAGTGACGGCACTGGACAGAAAGAAACCGGCGGTGAAAAGTGTAAAAGTTGATTTTAAAAATGAAGTGGATCGCCTTCAAAGGCAGCTGCAGGAATCTCTGCTGCTGTTTCTCACTTTCACTTTCTCCACCTCTTTCCTACTGTTGCAGCATGTAAACATTTATACATCACTTTTTTAAATTATGTAATCCAGTGGTGAAGTATTCAGATGTTTACTTCAGTAAAAGTAAAAATGTTATTGTTACAACACAACACAAGATTGTAGAATTACATTCAGATATAGTTCCCTTTATTCTACTTTTTAAAAAAAGATTAATGTGTCAAGTGTTTTTTAATATACCATTGTATGGTAAAATCTTCTGAAAAATCTAATGAGAAACTTTCCACATTGCCCACAACTCCTCAATACATTTTTAGTAGAGTAAAGTAGATACTATTGTGTATCGTTAGTTTGCCAGCGTTTTTGCTAACATTAGCTTTCAGATGTAACTACCTATCTAACAATTGGTGTCGATTAGCTAGCTAGTAAACTAGCGTATTACTAACATTAGCTAACTTAAAATGTCACTGTATATATTCCGCTTTTATCTTTCACTATTAAAACAATTTCACATTCCATTCCATTTTTGGGGGCTTTTATTGCTTTTAATTGATAGAGACAGCTGATGGTAGACAGGAATGGGGGGCAGAGAGAGAGGGAATGACACGCAGCAAAGGGCCGCAGGTCGGACTCGAACCCTGGGCCGCTGCAGCAAGGACTCAGCCTCGGTACATGGGTTGCCAGCTCTACCCACTGAGCTGAACCGGGCGCCGATCTCTGATA